GAGAAGACTTAAAAAATGCCTAACCATTTGCAGATATCATAGCAAAGGCAGCGCATTCTCCTCAGTTATTTTAAAACCCTGATTGTTGGTCTGGCCTGGGGCTCGAACCCTTGACCTCCTGCACAGCAGTCTGGTGCTCTACCACTTGAGTTAATCAGACAAACATTCTCAACTCAGGGTACAAAACTGAACTTAATTCATATAATTATATAAACTTAAATGTCTCACTTTTGAGCTTTGTCTTCTCGGAGATCAGCATGGAATACAACTCCATCCTCTCCGCATGTCAGAAATTCACATGGTGATCCTGGCTCTATGCAAAGCTGAAATTAAAAAAAGATAAGAATGCTTAAGCATGTGTGAAAGGAAATCTTGGTAATAACATGAAGTAATTCATCATACCAAGTTTACATAACTGCCTTTCACAATATTACCAATATCAATTGTGAGACAAAAGGAGGGGGAGATAATACAATCTGCAATTTCGTTTTTAAAATGCTCCTCCCAATGCTTCATAATTGATTGATCATCTTTCTTCCACTCAAAACATATCAAGTACCATATTCACTTTGCCTGCCCACCTCCACTTTGCACCTGTATAAGCTCTCATTGGTTCATTAGAGCACATTTTTACACAAAGAAAGAAATGAAAATTGGTAGAAAAATTTCAGTACCTTGTGCGCTGCTCCTTTGTGCTGTGCAATACATTTGGTATTCTTGCAAACAGCACTTGAGGAGTTGAGGAAACCAACACGTACCTAAATTCAATGAGTAAAATGACCTGCAGATACTGTTTTGACTGAACCCATGCACTAAAATTCTTATGTTAATGCAGATATATCTTACTCACTCTACTTAACAGATAAAAACAACTAATAATGAGCCCAAAAAATCAAAAAAGAAAAAAAAGGGAGGGACATCTGCATACTGCCATTGTTGACTCTCTTGACAGACAAGCACGCAACATAATAAAATGAATGATCTGTGGGAACAAAAGTTACCTAGTGTGTTGACTAAACCACTCTGCTATTTCTAATGAGAGATACCAATCTATCCCTGGTAGATTCAACAAGTTATTGTCTAATATTCTTTTCAATGCTGCTTAAGAAGGAAAAAATGTGATAGGATTTTGGTAGACACCTTTCTTTAATTAGTCATAGAATTTTGTTGGCTCACAGCTGTTGAATTTTAAAAAATAAAGTGTTTATTTGTGATAAAACTGTTTCTCATTAACATAGATTTCCAAGGTAAATTGTTACACAAGATCTTACTGAAATAGCAATTGCTATTTCAACCCACACTGGTTATTTAATAGCTTTGCCACACAAACTTGTTACAAGGAACAAGTTAAATGGACATACCATTAGTACTGAGTCAACTGGAAAACTACACTGGCCAGTTTGCGTCCTGATCTCACGCGTAATGTAAAAGTTCCATCCCAAGGTTTTATAGGTAGCCACAGAGACCAGCACTCGGTTTTAGTGGGAAAAAATTTATTGAAAATATTCCATAACAACAAAATTAACAAAACAAGCATGCAGAAATACTGCTCAGCTGAGTTAATTACATTTGATAAACGGACATTGGATTAATCAGTTGGGTTGTCTTAACGCTGAAGAGCAAATACTGTTTTCATTTACCTTCCCGTCTCTTGCACAGCTCACTACTGTACTATCGCCAGTGTATGGCATAAACTTGGCCTGAAAGAGAAAATAACGAAACAGAAAGTACTGAAGTGAAAGCCTAACATAAGTATGATAACATATTTTCCAAGCTTGAGGTAAACAAGCCCTAAGAACTATATTTCCTTCTTAAGTTGTTCAATTTATCTCGGTGCGCAATTCGTAGCTGATTGTACCTGAAAGACATTGCTCGAGTGTCCACTTTGGTAAGCTATCTTTTTCTTGCCTTTAGCCCAATCCCATATGACGATTTCTAAGTCATCACTTCCAGAAGCTAAAAGGTCTCCGGACATGTTGAAATGTAATGTATTCACACATCCATCATGGTGATCAAGTTTGTCGTGCAGCGTAAGTCTTTTCACAAGTCCACAAGAACCTGAAGTGTCCCTGGAAAAATTCCTTGGAGAAAGGATTCCAAGCTGACGAGACTGTAAGCTGGGAACAAGACAATGATAAGCGTTCTTAGCCATTTCAGAGACAATCTTGCTTTAAAAATGGTGCAGTCTGAAGAATTGTAGTCCGTAGTTCCTCTCACGTATGTGACGCAGAAACCATCAAGGTGAGCCTTCTTTTTGGGATTTTGCCTCTTCAGAATCGATCATGAGTGGTTCAAAGTTTAAAAAATTACTCAGTCCACAAATATAAACATCTTCGAAATTCACTTTCTTTGAACTCTGCGTGCAAAAAAACCAAAACAAGAGGAATGGAGTGACCTTAGGTCATACGAGCACTTTACGGAGATCTTCGGAGAAACCGAACTTGTAACGAATGATATGCTGTTCGTCGATTGCTGTTCGTAGGCGTCCGTCACCTCAAAATGGAGGAAGCTACTGGAAAGGAAGAAGAGCTGCAGAAATTTCTGGGAAAAGTCGATGAGATCGGTAATGAGAGCTTCTTGCACGTGTTTGATTTTCACTCAACAGAATAAGTGATTGCAAGGCATTGATTGCTCTTCTATATTTCCAGTATCTGCCGTTTAAAATTTGCCAATCTTGAGCACATTAGCTGTAAACATTAGTACATGATCTGCTGCCTAGTGCAACATAAACGTATCATCATTTTATTTTCCAAACCATATCTCTTGTAATTCTGTGTACAATGTGAACAAAAATCTGTATTTTGTCTTGATATGGTAAATGGCTACCTGATCTTGGTCTGAAGGCATGTTTTGACCATTGTTAGAGTGCTTAGTGGTATTATAAGCTGAAATGTATGGACTGAGTATAACAGTTAATAATACGAATGTTACTGTTCACGTCTGAGTTCATAATAATATGTCTTGCTTGTTATCACATACTGACGACAGACTAAATGATCACTGATTTATCAAGCATCTACTTGATTGTATGTGTTAACTTGTTTCATGTAACAGTAGCAAAGTAATGCATGTGTGGGAAACATTATAGGTTTGGAGAACAATCCAATTATGATGTACATACATACATACAAACTATTTATTCCAGAAGCTGTACTATATATACAATTAAAAAATAAAACAAAGATGCATCTAGAAAAGGAAGTTACGCGGTTATCCCTATGTGAAAACTACCCTAAAAAAAAGAAAAAGTACAATAAATCCAAGTATATTTTAGTACAATTTGAGCCTAGATTTAAAATGTTAACACTGGCTCTTGGATTATGGTTTGTTAATTCCTCCAATCTGTTAAATCACAATGAAAAGTTTCCTTGGTAGCATGAAGTTTGTAATTTTTTTCTTTTCAGACTCCATCATGAAAGATTTAACATGTGGTGACCTTGAAAGGCAAAACAAAGCTCTATCAGCTGCAGATGAGTTTTTAAAGCGACACAGGGCTGAAAATGATGATGATTCTGATGATGAATGTAAACAAGTCAAAACAAAGGCTGAGAGAACAGTCATTTCAAAAACTGAAGAAAGAAGACTTCTAGATCCATCAACTGCCCTTGGTGAAATGGTAGGATTAATTGGCTAAGTTAAGTTACCTTGGGATAGTTTAGATTATTTTGTAATTTGTGTTTCTATCAACATCCTGTTGTGAAGTCTATGCTCAAAAATTATGCCCAACATAACAGTTTTATGATTAGTATTTCCTGTATAGAATTAATTAAATTCTTGATCCAGATTGTTTAAATTTTTTATTATCTATGTATGTTGTCTTACTCAATATTATTATTTTTTGAAAAATTATTAATATTGTTTTTTACTTTTTCTTAGAGAGATGCAGGAGAAGTTTGTGCAGGTAAGTTCTTCTTTATTGTAACATTTGATATGTATTTTATCAAATGAATAATAACATCATCATCATTATTATTATTATTATTATTACTATTATTAGTTGTATTGATCGTTAATATTTTGTGTGATAATGACTGATTCATAACATACTTCATAACATCATTTATGATATGTTTGTGTCCCAAAGTGTCACTCAAGTATGTGACCCCTCTCCCCCACCTCCCCTCCCACCCCTCTCATGCGTATGGTGGGAAATTTTTTCTCAAAATGTAAAAGGGATTATACATGTGTAGCTTTGGTATAATTAGGTACAGTGTTGGGTGGTTCAAAATCCAAAGTCTTGATGTTTTATGCTTAGCATTTTCTATACAGTTGAGCTCTTGGAGAGATGAGATTCTCTGATTAAGCTTTAAATTTAGTCTTCATGTATCAGAGTTCAGTTTCACTCTCAAACTTTAAATTCCACTTTTCAGCACAACAAAAAACAGTAATCAGACCAGTGTGAGTAAAATTAAGTCTTTGCAGTGCTTCACAAAGTCCTGAATATGTATGTTTACAGAGAAGTTCATGAAAGCAGTTGAGGAAGATGCTAAGGAGAGGGCAAAGATAAAGAAGAGGTCTGAAGCAGAAGCTGAAAAGCTCAAAGGAAAAGGAAATGCTGCTTTTAAGGAAGGAAATTATTCAGAAGCTATAAGTAACTACTCAATGGCAATCAGTCAAAGTGGTTCCAATCCAGTACTTTACACCAACAGAGCACAGGTGAACCAGTCACTACATAACAGTGATTTACTGTTCTCTTCATTGATTCGAAAGTGGAATGATAATAATTTTTTCAGAAATGGTGATTGTTGTTGTTGTTTTAAAATTGTTTTGACAACCACCCTTAAATTCACTCTCCCTGAACAGCAACCCCAATCCTATAAGTGACAGATCTGAATTAGTTTTGCTGATTTCTACATGTTCCTATAAGATTTTTGACATACTGTTTCATGGTCTTTGTAACTCTCAGGCATATATCAAACTGAATGACTTTGATTCTGCAATCCAAGACTGCAATCTTGCTTTAAAGGTAAGTTTGATTTTAAAATAATAGACTGTTAGTAATAATTATTAATATTATAATTATCATGATCAATCTTGCTCTACCATTGTATTGATTAAGTGCTAAATAAGAATTTCTCTCAAGCGGTTCCTTATATGACGCTATATAAATCGCTCCGCGCGGTTTATATAAAATGTTAAACTAAAATGTTAATAAATGTTACTAAAATGTTATGATTTTAGAAATTTCTCTGTTGTTCAGCTCTGAAATTATACTAAAACAATTATTCGCCTCAGGTTCGGTGAATATTGTCGAATAATCCCCTCGGCTTCGTCTTGGGGATTATTCGACAATGTTCACCTCGTCTTCGGCGAATAATTGTTAAATATTGGGAGTGATACTTAGGGTAAAGGTTGAAAATGAGAACAGAAGGAAAGTCACGTGTTAGCTAAAATTTACAGTTTGGAATAACTAATGAGTTATTTTTATTACATTTTAAGATTGATCCCAAGTGGGTGAAAGCCTTTGTTCACAAAGCCAGAGCAATACAAGCTCAAGGAAAATTTGATGAGGTACAATTTGATTTTGCAAACATATCTGTGATCATTTTATGATTTTAATAACCAGTATTTTGTACAGTTAACTGACAGTTCACATTTCTTTATCATAGGCAATCTCAGTTCTGAAGGATGCTGTTAAAGTGGCACCAAAGCAAGAAAAAGTGTTGAAATGTATTCAGTACTTAATTTGACTGATTACAGTTATTTAGTAAATTTTCCTTAGTGACAGACCTTGTGTTGAATTACTTGATTTGTGAAAATGTTGTTTTCAATTATTAAATGGGTAATTAACCTTTAAATTTAACAATTTTATTACATACAGCTTACATAACTGAGGCTGAGTCAGCAAAAAAAAGACTTCAGGATGAAAAAGAGGTCAGTCTTATAATTCATTGTCAAACTTCAACATCTGTACTGTAACAGAAAATCTAAATGGATGTCTTCTTTGTTCCATACCAGATGCTATAGATTGACCCGCTGAATTTTAAAATTATTTTATGTCAATCATGCGGTGTGGTTCAAATCACTTTTATCTGTTTTTTTTTCCTTATTTCAAACTGATTATAATGTAATCCCATAATCTCCTGCATGAAGCAAAGTATAATTCTTAACCACAGATGAAGGTGAATAAATCACTACAGATAACCATTTGTATATTTATTGATGGTAGGCTGCCGGTATTGCTGGACAGGAGGGTGGGGAATCGATGAGAGATTCTATAAACAGACTTCAGAAAAACAGCCTGGCCACATCACAATATACTGAGGCAACAAGGAAACTTCTCCCACTTCTTGATAGCAGTATGTCAGGTTTTTTGTTTTGGAATGTTTATTATTTATAACAACCCTTACTGTAATGGAGTTGAATTCTGTAAATGATTTACATGGTTTTTCTCTGGCCCATTAGTTATTTTTGGATTCATTGTTAAATCAATTATTTTCTTTATCTGTGATAAAATTGTACCCTCTGCAAGTTTTAAGAGTTCCCATCATTCAAAGTTCTGCAAAGCTGAATTGATTCTTGATTGAGATACAATGAATATATGAAGTTCATATATTTTGAACTGCGGTATTAGATACGTATGATGCACGATCCTCGCAGTAGATAGTTTGTATACATATTCAGTGAATCATATGATTCTTGATTATAAGTTGTTGCTTCCAGGCATTTATGATAAGTTCTGAAATCTGCAATGAGTTTCTATTTTGTTTCTCTACTGTATGGTTGACCTTGAAGGTGCAAACAGAACATTGTTCAGATGTTATGGAGGTTTTCAGATCATAGACTGCAATAATACTTTTAAAAAGTAAGTGCTATCTCAAGGAAGAGAAACTAATTATTTTAAAAGCACAATTGTTACTTAATAGTACAAGACTCATTTTAAAAAGCCTTGAATCATATCATTGGAGGTTATTTAAAAACAACGGTTACCTCTGGTGATATAGTATAAAATCCAAGTTAATTATGGGTAATTCCACAGTATTTTGGACATTAAGCTTTAAGGAATAAAATTGACTAAAAGGACTATTAAGCTCTATTTCTGTACTGGTTAAATGCCAAATTTGTAAATATTTAAATGAACTGTGTGCCTCGTAAGTGATGGAGACTGCTTATCCAGGTCTTGCAGACCTATACATACTTGCAATTTATACTTCACACTTTTTATCCTGCCTTTGGTCATGTAAATACTTGTGTTTAATTTTCAGGTACTGGGAAGGAGCAGCTGTGTGTATAATGTTGGAAGATATAGACTTGATTTGTGAAATTTTAAGAATTCTTATGGAGGCATGAACTGATAATGGTAAGGCTATTACAGTTCTTTTGATGATGGTGAAAAAACCTACATGAACTTGCTGCCAGTTGGACTTACAAGTATAGAATTATTTAACCCAAAATGTCTAATCTCTTTCTCTTCCCTTGATAAGCTGATGGTCAGAAATATGTCCCTTTCTTATTTCAGATCACAAAGTAGAAGAGTTCCTCAAAAAGGATCACACTCCATCATTCAATCGTTTTCTGCGAGATCCGACATCTCCTGTCATTAAAACCGCTGCCACATCATTTCTTCACCAGCTGTCCCAAACTGAAAAAGGCAGAGTTGGTCTCACTACTTGTAAACATATCAAGTGGTAAGGTGATCTTTTTTTTCTCAAGCAGATGGTTGTTTTTAGTAAAAAGGAACAGTCATTGGATCAAAGCTAAAAACAAACGATGTGTTTCTTTGCAGTGTCACTGAGGCATTATTTTCACTGGTACAGAGGGGAACTAACACAGCTGTTATAGCAATGTCTACAATTAATAACTTGGCCTTGGAACTAGGGTATGATATTTAAGGCTGATCGTTTCTAAAGAAACTGTTTGGCGCTGCGTCGGTGGGGATAACGAAATAATTTGAATATATCAACAAAGTTGAAATGGTAAATTGGCCACCGTTACGGTTATAAAAGCTGACGTTTTGAGCGTTAGCCCTTCGTCGTTTCGCTCCGACGAAGGGCTAACGCTCGAAATGTCAGCTTTTATAACCGTAACGGTGGCCAATTTACCATTTCAACTTTGTTGATATATTCAAATTATTATGATAGTTAAGAATGCTCCAACAATTTATCTGAACATTTTAAGGCAATAAGTAATCAACAACAATTTAGAAAGTTTCACCGTGCTTAAGTCTGCCAACTTCTGTCTGCTTTTTAGATTCTGTGAAAAAATTAGAGATTTGGTTGACAAAGACTTTCTGAGCATCTCTCAGAAATTTGTGGTAATGTAAAATATTCTTTGCTTTACAATGTTGGTTGAATTTTTTTCCTTGTGGTGTTGATTTAGTATCCATTCCCAAGGTAATAGATTTTCCTCTCACCCCATACTTCCATTTTTTCCCACACAGTTATTTTCATCCTACTTTCATTGATCTTTTTTCTTCTTACAGAGAAAGTTATGTGACGTAAACACAACAGTTTCCCATGAACCAACAGACAGCTGGTCGCTAGTTTCATCTGGTTTGTCAGCTTTAGCCAACATGGCCAAAGACACATTTATCAGAAAAAAGATTGCTGACGAACAAGATTGGTGGGAAACAAGTGTCAAGTTCCTGGTTGGTATTTTTACTGCACTGCCACTAACTTTTTTACAATCCAAATTATGACAAATTCTTTAGTTTTAAGTAATGCCTTTGCTATGGAAGATTGGTTGGCTACCAATTTGTTTTCATTGAGTTAAAGTATTCATGCTTTTTTTGTTTTCAATACAGGATTGCAATATCTTGGGAATAAAGGATCAAAAAGTGAGAAGCTCTATTTATTCTCTTCTGGGTTTGTTGGCAAACATATCTCTGCAATCAAACCA